GGCACATCCGAAAACTGCGCTCTTAACCATCTTTGCCCGATGAACATGGTCCTCCGTCGCCGTGAGCACAAATTATAAGATTCCCGGAGATATCAGCCAGAATAAAACGCTAATCAGCTAGATCAAGATCAGCCGAGAATCAATCCACCAGCACTATTGGATAGCATTTCGGCTAAAATTCCACAATCCAGCATAGCAGCTAGCCAAGGAGTTCATACGTGGTCACCACACAGCAAAATTGAATTTTTATCAGCTACAACAAAACAACATAAAGCACATTAAAAAGGTACGTGGTTGTTTTGAAATATCACTGCACTTGTTTTTTTTGGTGTGAATAATTAAATTTAAAAATATATACTAAAAGAATAGTGTCCGCGAGTGATCTTGTGAAAAAAAAAAGTTACAGTCCACTAAAAGTTCTGTCTGTCGTTCATTTTGCATTTTAAGTTTCTGCAAGATAGAATAATATTCCCAATCGAATTAAAATCACATTTTTCAATTTGGAGTTTTAAATTAATTCACGGGAATTTACACATTTTCAGTTTTTTTCTGAGTTCCGGATAAGTGGCACAAGTGTATTAACATACATACATACACATATTAAATTCGCATGGTAGCAGAGGCTTAACCTCAAAAAGTGCCATTTTCGTCTTTTCGCCTTTTTCACAAAATCACTCACTAAGCATTAATTTAATATTGATTTTATTAAAAAACGATTTTGTATCCTAAAAACATACGTGTTATAAAAAACTATACACATACCGGGTGGCGACCAATACTTAAAGCAACCACAAGAGACATATGTACATACACACGCACATATATTATTAAATAAAACGATTGTGCATACATATATGTACATACATACATCGATATTGAGTACCATAAATTTTGGGATATTTACGAAGTTGTGGAGCTTAGGAGGCAAATTTTGTGATTTTTACAAATTGGGTGGCTTTCGGGCAATAATTTCAACTGTGTCATTCACTATAGTGGGTGTTTTCTTTGAGTTGCTTATTCTGAGGATGAATCTTGAGAGATCTTATTAGGTTGTGGTTAAAACTTTAAAAATGGAAACATACACTCGCTTAGCTGACTCGGTTATTGAATTCGATATCGAATTTCTTGGCACACCCACAAGTGAACACACCAAGCATTCGCTGAAAATTCAGCAAGAGGAGCTAAAGGTGATGTGGGAGAAAGCCAAAGCACTTTTTGATGACTTGCTGGCTACGGAATCAATTGGTGCTAAAGATCTAAGTTCGATACGTAAGAAAGGAAAAACGTGCTATGCAGCTTTTGTGCGATGTATGTCCAAAATAAACGATTTGTCGGAAAAATTTTCAAAAACCGAAAAGGAAGATGAGGACATGTCAGCCACACAGCATAATTTACACCTACCGCCTTGTGATATCGACGCATTCAAGGGCGATTATTTGTCATGGCCAACATTTCGTGACATGTTCACGGCTATATATATATTGAACAAGCGGCTGACACCCATTCAAAAGCTTTACTATCTTAGTCAGAAAACGCAGGGTGAAGCCAAAGAAATTGTTAAGAAATGCGACCTGACAAATTATGGGTTTAATATAGCCTGGAAGAATTTGTGCGATAGGTATGAGAATAAAAGGATCCTAGTTAACACCCAGTTGAAGATCCTCTTCAATCTACAGGCGGTGGAAACTGAATGCGGGAGTGCAATTAAAAGATTGCAAAGGGATATAAACAATTGCATATCTTCCCTGGAGAGTCATAAAATTGACATTTCAACCTGGGATCCAATAATTACATACCTTTGCTCCACAAAATTACCAGAAGAGACTCTTTCGCTGTGGGAGCAATCAGTGCAAAATAAAACAGATATTTCCAAGTGGGCTGACATGGACCAATTCTTGTCAAGCAGATTCCAAACTTTGGAATCGGTCTCGGGGTTGAGAGGAATCAAGGTTTCAAAAATTTCAAAAGGGTTAAGTCATAAGCATTCCTCTGAACCGCCACAAAAGAAACTTGGCACTTTTCAAACTAGTGTAAGCAAATTTACTTGCAAAATGTGTCAAAGCAATGATCGCAGACTGCATATGTGCCAAAAATTCTTAAATATGTCGACATCTGATAGGATCGCTTTTATTAAAACCAACAATAGTTGGTTTAACTGCCTGTCCTTTGGGCATGCGGTGTCGAAATGCACAAGTTCCTACAACTGTGCCAATTGCCATTCTCGACACCACACCCTACTTCATATACAGGCGGCTCCAGGTAAAACAACGACAAAGGAGAATACAGCCAATCCAGTTAACAATGGTGCATCGACATCCAGGCAGGCACAATTACGAAACCAATCTTCAAAGGGAAAAGGTAAAGCAGTCAGACATGTGCAAACACATCACGCGAATTCAAGCAAAGGCGTTTTACTTGGGACAGCTCGAGTAAATATTCATTTTAATGGTACTAACTTTGCGGCAAGAGCGTTAATTGACTCTGGCTCTGAGTGTTCCTTCATCACGGAGAGGCTCAGACGCAGAATCAACTTGCCGACCAAGAAGATGTTAGCACAGGTTTCGGGCATCAATAATTCTGTTTCAGCGCAGGTGAAAGAAGCGTGTTCGATTCAATTGTGGTCACCAATTGACCCACTTATTTCTATTGATGCCCTTGTGTTAGTTCTACCAAATCTGACAGGGAATTTGCCTACTTGCCTACTCACACAACAAGTTTTTCCTGATCTGGTTTTGGCAGATAAAAGGTTTTTTGTGAATGAACAAGTCGATCTGGTTCTTGGAGGAGACATATATCCTCAAATAATATTAGGTGGAATTAAGAAGAACGTTCTCAGTACTCTCTTAGCGCAAGAAACAGTATTCGGTTGGATACTGACTGGTCGTGCTGATGCAGCCAGCCCAACCAGCAATAATCGAGTTTCATTTTACAATGAGGTTGCCCTTGATAGACAGTTATGCTCATTCTGGGAACTGGAGGATTTGCCGAGAAACAGAGCACCAACAACCGAAGAAACACAGTGTGAGGAGCTCTACAAGCGTACAACCAAACGGAACCCAGACGGAAGGTATATCGTTTCGCTTCCATTCAAAGCGGAGTTCCCGGCTGATACCAAATTGGGGCCATCACTGAGAATAGCGTGCTCGCAATTCTACAAAAACGAGACACGCCTCAAGAAAAATCCAGATTTGCATGCGGAATACAACAGGGTCATACTAGAGTACGAGACAATGGGGCATATGTCGAAAATCAATGCACTTCAGTCGGCCGATGCAATCGACAATTACTATCTGCCTCATCATGCCGTGATAAAAGAAGAAAGTATATCAACAAAGGTTCGGGTGGTTTTTAATGCTTCGTCTTCTTCAGCGAATGGGGTCAGCTTGAACGATGTTCTTTTACCAGGGCCAGTTCTTCAAGCTGATTTACCAATTTTGATTCTCCGCTGGAGACTTTTTAGGTACGTCTTCAATAGCGATATTGAGAAGATGTACAGGCAAATTCTCGTGGATGCCAACCAGACGAAGTACCAGAGATTAGTCTTCCGTACGGGTCCAAACGAACCAATCGGTCTTTATGAATTAAAAACGGTTACTTTCGGTATAAACTGTGCGCCTTATCTGGCGATAAGGACATTACTTCAGCTAGCTAATGATTCAGAAAATTCCCATCCGATAGCTTCGAATATTTTACGGAAAAATATGTATGTCGATGATGTTCTTGCGGGCGGACATACTATAGACTCCACGTTACAGGCTAGGGATGAGGTTTCTACAGTTTTGAAATCAGCTGGATTCCCTTTGCGAAAATGGACCTCGAATTGTGACAAAATACTACAGGGCATACCAAAACCACATCTTTTAAGCGAAGATTTCTTAGAATTCGAGGACACTAGCAGTGTAAAAGCATTAGGTATCAGGTGGAATACGCATTCCGACCAATTTTATTTCATAACCAAGACCATAGACGATAACATCACGCCAACAAAAAGAGCGATATTGTCAGCCATCGCCAAACTATTCGACCCGTTGGGTTGGCTAGCTCCAATAATAATAGTTGCAAAAATACTTATGCAGAATATATGGTTGGAGGGTACAAAGTGGGACGAAACGGTCTCCGTTCCAACCTTAGATAGGTGGCACAATTTCACAAAAAATTATAAAGAAATCGACAAAATAAGGATACCGCGGTGGGTATCTTTTTCACCAAAGGAAAAAGTCGAAATTCACGGATTCTGCGATGCTTCCGAAAAGGCATACGCGGCCGCAGTCTACCTACGTGTCGAAAGAGACGAGAAAATACTTATCAACCTCCTGTTAGCGAAAACTCGAGTAGCCCCAGTGAAAATAATTTCATTGCCTAGATTGGAACTTTGCGGGGCGGTATTACTAGCCGAAATAGTCGAATCTATTACAAATAGCCTGGAATTAGGCCAACTAAACATACATCTTTGGACAGATTCGACGATTGTTTTGGCATGGATACGCAAGCCCCCATGTTCGTGGTCAACATTCGTTGCCCATCGAGTTACTAATATAATAGACAAGGTAGGGAATTCTAACTGGTTGCACGTCGACTCTGCCACAAATCCAGCAGACTTAGCAAGCAGGGGCATATTGGCGCATGAATTGGTACAAAATTCGTTGTGGTGGCAAGGACCTTCTTGGCTGCAAGAAAATAGAGAAAATTGGCCATTACAAGAGATAGACTTCACTACTAATATTGAGGAAAAACGGTTGCACGTTCATTCAACAATAACGTCAAACGAACTTAGTGACATTCTTGAGCGGTTTTCAAGTTTACCGAAAGCTTTGAGGGTGCTCTCGTATGTATTGAGATTCCTCCAAAGAACCAGTCCGAAGACAAAAGCTTCTTTTCAGGCGAACTCTTCTTTAATTTCGTCAAACGAAATTAAAACAACGACTATACGTCTGATAAAACTCGCTCAGAAGCAACATTACGGAGCAGAAATCGCTAAACTTAAAGCTAGAGAATCCATTGAGTCAAAAAGTGAAATCCTTCCTCTAAATCCGTTGCTTGATAAAGATGATTTGCTGAGAACTGGTGGTCGTCTTGGTGCATCTCTTGATCTGGCATATAGTGAACGGCATCCAGTCATACTCCCATACAGCTGCAGTTTATCGCGCCTAATAGTCCAATTTGTACACGAAGTCTCTCTCCATGGTGAAAACCAACTCATGTTGCGTCTCATCCGAACCCAATACTGGATTCCAAAGGTGAAAACACTAATAAGGTCCACCATCCATAATTGCAAAATATGTACTATTCACAAAAAACGCTCACAAAGCCAACTTATGGGAATCCTTCCACAAGAGCGAACTACGTTTTCGCGAGCATTTACAAATACAGGTGTGGATTTCGCTGGACCCTTTGAAATAAAAAGTTATCGTGGGCGGGGGTGCCGAATTTCAAAGGGTTACGTCTGTCTTATGGTCTGTTTTTCTACGAAGGCCATCCATCTAGAGGCCACAAGTGATTTGAGTACCCAATCCTTTCTAGCGGCATTTTCAAGATTCGTTTCCAGACGTGGGTGCCCAAAAAATGTCTACTCAGACAATGGGACAAACTTTGTAGGAGCTTCAAGAGCGTTAAAAGCAGAATTTAAGGCATTTCTTTCCGACGCGCGGACACAGACGCTCTCAAAATATGTTCACCAATCACTAACCTGGCATTTCATACCTGTCGCAGCTCCGCATATGGGGGGCTTATGGGAGGCAGGTGTGAAAAGTTTCAAAAGCCACTTTAAAAAGATAGCGTCAAATTCGAAATACACTTTCGAGGAGTTCAGTACACTACTTTGCAGAGTTGAGTCATGTCTCAACTCGCGTCCACTTAGCCCAGCCTCAAATGAGCCATCTGATGTGGAGCCTCTAACTCCAGGCCACTTTTTAGTCGGCGGACACCTGCTAGCTCCACCAGAGTTAGACGTCAACGAAAATCCTGCCTCGATCGTTAATCGTTGGCAGAAGCTCAAGGCCCTACACCAAAACTTCTGCAGGAGATGGAAGACTGAATACCTGAACGAGCTACAAAAACGCACAAAGTGGAAACATCCGAAGGCAAACATGAAAGTAGGAGATATGGTGGTCATAAAAGAAGATAATCTCCCTCCTAACGAATGGAGACTAGGTAGGGTGGTCAATTTACACCCAGGTTTGGACAGTAGAGTCCGAGTTGTTGACATCCTGACCGAAAAGGGCACTGTGACAAGACCGCTTGTCAAACTGATATTACTACCACCCTATCACACGGAGACAACCGCTGAGGACGACTAGGAGAAGAATCTCTACCGCTACCAACATTTTCAACTATATTTTCATTGTATAGACTTTAAATATTTGTATCTTCTTAGGGCCAGTTTCTTCGTGCCAGTTTAAACTTAGATCACATAAAGTGCGTCTGCAGTGAACAGCTGGCGGACATTTGCTTGGCTAATCTGGGTATAAGCCAGTCAGTCCGATTTGAAACTGCAGACGTGCACTAAGAAACTGACCCTTAGGTTAAATTATAAATAGTTACCTTCATTTATCTTAAGCGATTTTAAGTATACCTCCTCAATTGCGGATCCACACTTATCCATCGTTGTAGTTGGTAGCGAATTTCCGAAAACGATTTTCTTAATGTTTTTTTTTGCCATTTTTTCATATGATTTCTCGTTTTATTCACATTGCTTTCTACCTCAATTTTCAATTTATACATTTCTGTAGCGATTTAATTCAACTCTTGGTTTGTTAAAATTTTAGTTTCTTGATTTAAAATGAAGATGCTGTTTGATTAGAACAAGTTCGTGCGTTTGTTTGGCCTGCCAAGAGGCTTAAATTACCGGGAAAAGTGGGTGCATCTTTGCGGTAAGAACATAGGCGTTAAAAAAAAAAAACGAGCTGTGTTGATGCTCGGCGATTCTAAAACACTTTCTGTACCCAAAACCATATTTTTATGAACAATTTTTGCTCATCTTCACGTAGTTTAACTTATTATATTATAATATATATATATATTTTTTTTTTATTCTGTGACAGAAGTAACACCACTCAGATACATATTTTTCTGGCTTCTTTGAGTAGGTGATTTGGTATTTTTGGTTTATGGGTATTATGCAAATTTAAGGCATTTGTTCTCCAAAACACACTTTTGCCAATACTTCATTTTCACTATAACACTTTGTGCCAATACTTTGTCGTCATCTGGGCACACTACTATGCACATAAATAGGTGCCAATACTTTGTTGTCATCTGGGCACACTACTATGTACATACGTAGGTATGCATGTGTTTCTTTTAAGCTCGGAACACTTTGACGACAGCAAGCGACAAGCAGCATCTTTCAAATTTTAAATACACACGTTCTTACGGACACAATTATTTTGACGACAGCACGACATCCTGGATGCAGGACTGCAATTGTCGACGTCGCCAAATTAAATCTATTTCTAATTTTGCCGGCGACAATGAGTAGATGTAGTGCTGCAAAATTAAATTGTCGCAAAATTAATCACATATTCTTGATTGTTCATGTTTTTCTTATTTACTTAAATAAAAATACACAATTTGTGAAATAAATATACCAAAATGTCAAACTTTAAAATCAGCTATTTGCTATGTCGCTGAGGTCTTCAAAATGTTTAAGAAGCTGGCTTCAAGGCGACATTTGTCGACAAAATGATGTCGCTGTCGTTACGTCGTGAAGTTGCAGTCGTCAAAGTGTTCCGAGCTTCAGCATTGCACTTTTTCACATAACCTATCCCAACACATAAATACGCATATTCAATTTGTGTGTAAAAACTTTAAAAGGACACGCTCTTAACGCGACCAACTAGCACCACATGGTACATATGTATGTACATATTCTTTTACATAAGGCACATTTACATAATGAATTGAACACTCCACCGGTACTTCTGCACATACATATGTTTCGCAAAACGTATGTATATTTATTACGCACGTTTTTTTCTTGTTAGAAATTAACTTTAATTTACGCATTTTTTTTATTTAAAAGGAACTCTACGCACTTATTTCTTAAAATTCACCGTTTTACTTATTTCTTTTGTTTGTGTGTACATTCGCACTACTTACATATTACTACTTACTATTTACAATCACCCTTTCACTGCACCTGCTATCAAAATCGATGGGTTAATTATTGTTTCACTCGCGCCGCTTGCTATGTTTTTTTTTTTCAATTAACTCGAAATATTTCACCGGCACCGCATAACATCACTTTTAGTAAAGACGAATATATTTAACGTGGTGGGGAATCGTCCATTGACGGAAGTAGTGTTGTGTTATCGATATCGATGTACTAAACAATTCGATACTATGGAGAGTTCTTTCGATAATAACACTGAGATTGCACTTGCCATTTTCTGTAGCAGGTCTGCGCAAATTTTGTGCAGATCCGCTTAATAGTGTGTGTGTGCAGTTAGTGCTTGCAGTAATGGAAATTATAGGCATTTTTTTTTTCCATATAGATGTGGTGGGTAATAATAAATAATACATAATTATTTATTATTATCTATTTCAAAATGCAGTATTACTACGTCAAGTTATAATGCATAGACCCATCAATTAAATGTTAATTTGTTTCCGCCACACTTTCCGTGCAACCTATTTATCAGATAAGCAGCTCAAAGTTCCCATGAACCCTGCCGACTCTCACCACCCCAATATAAAGCCAGGTATAAACGTTAGAATGTTCAATCATTAAGGAGTGCGTAAATTTGTACCTCGCTATGGCTCGCCACCCGTCAATCTCGTTTCCTTGTAAAGTTCTAATTAAGATTGGGAAACTGCTATTTCAGAAAATGACCCGCTTCACGTTGATGCGAAAACAAGCGGAAACTACCCGAGGCTACCCCCTGACTTGTCGACTTTGCGGCTCGAAGCATCCTCTCCGGCTCTGCCCTGTTTTTCGTGCTAAAGGGCCAGAAGAGCGTCTGCGTGAAGTATTGATCCACCGCTACTGCTCCAATTGCTTAGCAGGAACACACCGCGCAGCACATTGCACTAACGAGGGCAGATGCCGGCAGTGCCAGGAGCAACATCACACGTTGCTTCATATTTCATCACGTGCCGACAAGCCGCGTTTTAGCCGACGACCACCAAGGAATACGGTTGCCGAAGACGACGATAGCGACGCCATATCATTAGAGGCGTCAGAGGCTGCAGCGGAAACTTCAGCTTTCCGCCCAGGCCTGGAAGAGGGGGAAATCCCTGAACCTGAAGCGGAAACCGATGCTTTCCGCTCAGCAAACCCCCCTGGAATGAAAACCTACGCTTTCCATCCAGATGGGTCGAGGGGATTAGGACTCCAGCGTTTTCGCCCAGACTCAGAGCACGAGCGGGACCATCAAGAGGGACTGGAAACCGGAGCTTTCCAGCCTTCAAAAAACAAGAGAGGCAAATCCCGACAGCAGCGTTACCGCCCTCGCCGTCGACAAATCAAAAGCGGGCGAGTGGAATCTTCTGCATTCCACCGCCAAGCTCAAAGCGGATTTCGATCCGGAATGGTAA